TCTTGTTTATTACTACATGAAACCTGTTTCTCCCTCTTCTATTGTGGCCTAATGAGGCGGTTTACATCATGTCCAGCCACTGCACAATATTTGCAACTATTGTCTCTCTCCGATAATGCATTCATTTTTATTGCAAGATAAATCCTGCCTCGTCTCTTCTTATACTGAGGCCCTATAAAGCTGCTGCTTACATACAGTCCAGCCACTGAACAATATTTGCAGCTATTGTCTCTGGGATAATACTCTCTAATTTGTATTGTCAGATAAAACCTGATTGGTCGCTTCCTCTTACACTGCAGCCTAACCTTACTGCAAGATAAATCCTGCCGGGTCTCTCCCTCTTATATTGCGGCCTAACCAAACTGCTTACATGTTTTCCAGCCACTGAACAATATTTGTGGCTGTTGTCTGACAGATAATACTCTCCAAAATAATTGGGGATATAGGAAGGGGAGGGAGTTCAGGGAAGGCGGGGTTGTGGTTTTTGAAGTGTTCTTGTGCACTCTGTTTTGACTTTTTAATAAACTTTAAAAAAAAACATAACATACAGTGTTGTAGAGTCCGTGCCATGTCTGTGTTTTGTTTTATTCCCACTGTTGCTTTCACTTCCATTTCTTACAATGTGGTCTTCCTTAGTTGCCATTTTTCAGTAGCTCCGCCTCCTTACAGGCTCCTGACACTGCTTGCACCAAGATGAAACAGATAGCCTCAACCCGCTCCCCCATCCTCCACCCACTTCCCTGCTCCCCCGTCCTCCACCCACTTCCCTGCTCCCCCGTCCTCCACCCACTTCTCTGCTCCCCTGTCCTCCACCGCTCTCCCCCCTCCTCCACCCGCTCTCCCATCCTCCACCCGCTCCCCTGTCCTCCACCCGCTCCCCCCCCATCCTCAAACCACTCCCCCGTCCTCCACCCACTCCCTCATCTTCAACCCACCCACCCCTCCTCTGCTCCCCGTCGTCAACCCGCTCCCCCCTCCTCCACCCACTCCCCCGTCCTCAACTCGCTCTCCCCTCCTCCACCCACTCCTCTGCTCCCCCCGTCCTCCACCCACTCCTCCCCCCCTCCTCTACCCACTCCCCTGCTCCCCCGTCCTCCACCCACTTCTCTGCTCCCCCGTCCTCCACCCACTCCCCCCGTCCTCCACCCACTTCTCTGCTCCCCTGTCTTCCACCCGCTCCCCCCTCCTCCACCCCGCTCTCCCCCCATCCTCCACCCGCACCCCCTGTCCTCCACCCGCTCCCCCCATCCTCAAACCACTCCCCCGTCCTCCACCCGCTCCCTCATCTTCAACCCACCCACCCTCCTCTGCTCCCCGTCGTCAACCCGCTCCCCCCCTCCTCCACCCACTCCCCCGTCCTCAACCCGCTCCCCCCTCCTCCCCACCCACTCCCCATGTTCCCCCCCCGTCCTCCCACCCACTCCCCCCTCCTCTACCCACTCCCCTGCTCCACCATCCTCAACCCCCCGCTGCCCCATCCTCCACCCATTCCCCCAACCTCAACCCGCTGCCCCGTCCTCCACCCGCTCCCCCTGTCCTTCACCCGCTCCCCCATCCTTCACACCCGCTCCCCTACTCTCCCGTCCTCCACCCGCTCCCCCATCCTCCACCCACTCCCCTGCTCCCCCATCTTCCACCCACTCCCCTGCTCCCCCGTCCTTCACCCACTCCCCTGCTCCCCCCGTCCTCCACACGCTCCCCCATCCTCAACCCGCTCCCCCATCCTCAACCCGCTCCCCTGCTCCCCCGTCCTCCACCCGCTCCCCTGCTTCACCCCTCCTCCAAACGAGTCACTGCCAGTGGCTGAAGCCTGCGCCCTCCGTGGTCCTCTGCGCATATGAAGGACAGAACCAATCAATGCAGGAGCATGATCTGTGGGATTTTTTTTATCTCTTTTAGATGGTGGCAACAACAGTAACAATAATGATTTCCATGGGATTGTTTTATCATTTTAATTGATATTTTAATCATTTTGTTCTTAATAACAAGTCCACGTGACTGCAGGAGCACTATTTGGACCCGTGCAGCACCCCCCCTACCCCTCCCTTCCCCCGGACAAGTAACAACACTGACATCTGCAAGCAGGACGCGTCACATGCTACCACAGGGTACCCGGTGCAGCGGATTTACTAAAGGAGTGGAATGTAGTCACTACGAGAGGGATTTTCACTTACTCTCCACAATGTGTTGGAAAATTCTCTTTGCAAAAAAATGCGAAATATTGTACAAAAAGCTTCACTCGTTTAGTAGATCGTCCAATCGGGGATGGGGGGAGGGGGGGAGGGGTAAGACATCGAACACACTGCTGAGGTTCCTGTTCAGAAGTGCTGGAGGTCGGCTTCGGAGAGCATGGCACCCACGGTGAGGTAGAGCGGATAATGAAGTAGGCACGGTTGAGGTTATTGGACCCAGAGGGGGCCCCGTGACAAGGGCCCGCCGGTCTGCAGTATGGAGTGATCTTCTCCCCTGCGTCCTACATTGCAGGATCTGCTGCCCTCTACTGACAGGCAGGACACACTACAGTGCAAAGTGCAGCTGCCAGCCAACAGAATAGGAAATGTTTCCAGATGTCTGTCATGTGTTACAATTTGTAGTTCGGCCGCAGATTCTCACAAACAAAACTTTATGTACAAAGCTGGAGGGGGACACAAAAAAAATGTCAGTATCCTTTACAGGGCAGGACAGAGGAAGGGTGACAGAGGAAGAGTGACAGGAGTGACAGAGGAAGAGTGACAGGAGTGACAAAGGAAGAGTGACAGGAACGACAGAGGAAGAGTGACAGGAGTGACAGAGGAAGCGTGACAGGAGTGACAGAGGAAGAGTGACAGAAACGACAGAGGAAGAGTGACAGAAACGACAGAGGAAGAGTGACAGGAGTGACAGAGGAAGAGTGACAGGAGTGACAGAGGAAGAGTGACAGAGGAAGAGTGACAGGAGTGACAGAGGAAGAGTGACAGGAGTGACAGAGGAAGAGTGACAGGAGTGACAGAGGAACAGGAGTGACAGAGGAAGAGTGACAGGACAGAGGAAGAGTGACAGAAACGACAGAGGAAGAGAGTGACAGGAGTGACAGAGGAAGAGTGACAGAGTGAAGAGGAAGAGTGACAGAGGAAGAGTGACAGAGTGACAGAGGAAGAGTGACAGGAGGTGACAGAGGAAGAGTGACAGGAGTGACAGAGAAGAGTGACAGGAGTGACAGAGGAAGAGTGACAGGAGTGACAGAGGAAGAGTGACAGGAGTGACAGAGAGGATGGGAGAGTGACAGGAGTGACAGAGGAAGAGAGACTGAGCAGTGACAGGAGCGACAGAGGAAAGAGATGAGCAGTGACAGGAGCGACAGAGAGAGATGAGCAGACAGAGAACAGAGATGAGCAGTGACAGGAGCGACAGAGAAGAGCAGATGAGTGACAGAGCGACAGAGAAGAGAGATGAGCATGACAGGAGTGACAGGGACAGTGACAGGAGCAGAAAGGAGCAAGATATGAGGCAGTGAGAGAGATGAGCAGTGACAGGAGTGACAGAGAAGAGAGATGAAGTGACAGGAGCGACAGAGGAGAAAGAGATGAGTCAGTGACAGGAGCGACAGAGCAGAAGAGAGAGATGACAGTGACAGAAGAGAGATGAGCAGAGACCAGGAAGCAACAGAGCAGAAGAGGCTATGAGCAGACCAGAGGAAGAGAGAGAGCAGTGACAGGAGTGACAGAGAAGAGAGATAGAGCATTGACAGGAGCGACAGGAGAAGACGAGATGACAGTGACAGAGACAGAGCAGAAGAGAGATGAGCAGTGACAGGCAGAGCGACAGAGGAGATGATGAGCAGTGACAGGAGCGACAGGAGAAGGAGATGAGTGAGCAGGACAGAGGAGGTGAATCAGTGGACAGACAGAGGCCAGGAGCGACAGAGGGAAGGCTCTGACAGACAGGAAACAGAAGAGGAGGAGGAGAGATAAATGAGCAGTGACAGGAGCAACAGAGAGAAAGCGAGATGAGCACACAGGAGAATTAGGAGTGACAGGATAACAGAGTGAAGAGGGACAGGAGCAACAGAGAGGAGCGACAGAGGAGAGAGATGACAGATGAGGGAAGAGGCGACAGGAGCAACAGAGGAGAAGAGATGAGCGAGGAACAGAGTGCAATAAGCAGTGACAGGAGCATAGGCAGAGCGACAGAGGAGGGAGACAACAGAGGAGGAAACAGGGAGATGAGTGCAGAGGAAAGGGGGAGAGAAAGATTGGCAGTGAGACAGAGGACGAGCAGTAGGGAATTGAGTGGGTGACTTTATTGAGCGACAGGGAGAAGTGAAGGACAGGAATGAGGCGACAGGATAGGAGAGGAGGGACAGGTGCAACAGAGGAGGAAGGGACAGGAGCGACAGAGGGAAGGGGAGGAGCGACAGAAGGGAGAAGGGACAGAGTGCACAGAGGAGAAGGGACAGGAGTGACAGAGGAGAAGGGACATGGCGTGACAGGAGCGACAGAGGAGAGGAAGGGACAGGTGCGACAGAGGAGAAGGGACAGGAGCGACAGAGGAGAAGGGACAGGAGCAACAGAGGAGAAGGGACAGGAGCAACAGAGGAGGAAGGGACAGGTGCAACAGAGGAGAGAAGGACAGGAGCGACAGAGGAGAAGGGACAGGAGCGACAGAGGAGAAGAGACAGGAGCGACAGAGGAGAAGGGACAGGAGGACAGGGGAGAAGGGACAGGACAGCATGGGGACAGAGAGGGACAGAGGAGCGACAGAGGAGAAGGGACAGTGAGCGACAGAGCGACAGAGCGACAGAGGAGAAGGGACAGGAGCGACAGAGGAGGGGACAGGAGCGACAGAGGAGAAGGGACAGGAGGACAGAGGAGCGACAGAGCGACAGAGGAGGGACATGGTTGCGAGAGGAGGAGGGAGCAGTGACAGAGGAGGGGAGCAGACAGGAGGAGGGACAGAGCGAGAGGTGCTACAGTAGTAACTGAGAAGAAGTGACAGGAGCGACAGAGGAGGATGAAGCAGAGTTATGGAATGAAGATGTCAAAGCAGCCCTCACCGGTGGCCTCGTTGTGCAGCAACAGCGTCATCCATGGCTGCGGACCTGGCAGCTTGCGTAGACTTTCCGGCCGTCTACCCTTCTCCACTCGGCTGTCTATGATGACTGTGGATCCCAGAGGAATGGGACTACAGACAGGAGGAGAAGATCATCACACCTCTCTGGGTGTCACAGCGTCATATCATCAATAGACCCTAAATGTCCCCTCATGAGTCTCCCCATTATTATCTTTCTTTCCCAGTCCACTATCACATCTCTTACGGAAGGTTCCTCCAGCCTCCTCCTGAGGAAGGTTCCTCCAGACCTCCCCCTGAGGAAGGTTCCTCCAGACCACTCCCTGAGGAAGGTTCCTCCAGACCTCCCCCCTGAGGAAGGTTCCTCCAGACCTCCCCCTGAGGAAGGTACCTCCAGACCTACCCCACTGAGGGAAGACCGACCATCCAGAGGAAGGTTCCTCCAGACCTCCCCCTGAGGAGGGTCCTCCTGACCTCCCCCTGAGGAAGGTTCCTCCAGACCTCCCCCTGAGGAAGGTTCCCCCAGCCCTCCCCTGAGGAAGGTTCCTCCAGACCTCCCCCTGAGGAAGGTTCCTCCAGACCTCCCCCTGAGGAAAGTTCCTCCAGACCTCTCCCTGAGGCAGGTTCCCCCAGCCCCTCCCCTGAGGAAGGTTCCTGCAGACCTCTCCCTGAGGAAGGTTCCCCCAGCCCTCCCCTGAGGAAGGTTCCTCCAGACCTCCCCCTGAGGAAGGTTCCTCCAGACCTCCCCCTGAGGAAAGTTCCTCCAGACCTCTCCCTGAGGCAGGTTCCCCCAGCCCTCCCCTGAGGAAGGTTCCTGCAAACCTCTCCCTGAGGAAGGTTCCTCCAGACCTCTCTCTGAGGAAGGTTCTTCCAGACCTCCCCCTGAGGAAGGTTCCTCCAGACCTCTCCCTGAGGAAGGTTCTTCCAGACCTTTCCCTGAGGAAGGTTCCTCCAGACCTCTCCCTGAGGAAGGTTCTTCCAGACCTCTCCCTGAGGAAGGTTCTTCCAGACCTCTCCCTGAGGAAGGTTCTTCCAGACCTCTCCCTGAGGAAGGTTCTTCCAGACCTCTCCCTGAGGAAGGTTCTTCCAGACCTCTCCCTGAGGAAGGTTCCTCCACACCTCCAATCTCATCTTGTCTTCTTCACTACTACATCTCAACCCCCCCCCCCCTCACCTCCAGCCACTATTTTCACAAGGAGGAGTTTTCTGTCACCCTCGGGATTTCCTGCAGGGACCCCGACTGTGACTACGCTCCATTTCTCATAGGACTTGATTTGGGTAATTATATCTAGAGCTGGCCACACACATTACAATCTCCGGACAACTATATAGTGTGGAAGTCTACCTGAACACTCCACTCGATGTCTATCCAGCCAGCCAGGTAGGTCCTCGCATCATGCCGCCCACCGTGTGCACTCACCTCCGAAAGTTGATGTTCAGGTTGGCCGTCATAGCCGGTCCATAGCTCCGTACTATTCCCGTCCCCACCGTGGCGTCTATCAAGGAAGCGATGCAGCCACCGTGGGCGTACCTAGAGAAAGCAAAAGGGACAGGAGAGGTGGAGGCGGAGCAAGATGACCAAAGGATTCTGGGTAGGACAGGCTGGAGAAAAGAACGCTCACCCTGAGTAGCCCCCCAGATAGGGCCCGGGCTGGAATATGCAGACCGTCCTCTTCTCCGCCTCGTTATAGAACATACAATACTCGAAGCCGACTCCGTCCTGATCGATGTTCCTGGTGAAGAGGCGGGTTTTCCTGTCCACCTCCGGAGACATACCTGTACAGAGGTCACCTGACCAGTCACAGGAGCTTACACTCTAATGCCCCCCTCCCCCCCCACAGTCCCATCAATCTGTACCAGAGGAGCTTACGCTCTAATGTCCCCTCCCCCACAGTTCCATCAGCCTCTGTACCAGAGGAGCTTACACTCTAATGCCCCCTCCCCCACAGTCCCATCAGTCTCTGTACCAGAGGAGCTTACGCTCTAATGTCCCCTCCCCCACAGTTCCATCAGTCTCTGTACCAGAGGAGCTGACACTCTAATGTCCCCTCCCCCACAGTCCCATCAGTCTCTGTACCAGAGGAGCTTACACTCTAATGTCCCCTCCCCCACAGTCCCATCAGTCTCTGTACCAGAGGAGCTTACACTCTAATGTCCCCTCCCCCACAGTCCCATCAGTCTCTGTACCAGAGGAGCTTACACTCAAATGTCCCCTCCCCCACAGTCACATCAGTCTGTACCAGAGGAGCTTACACTCTAATGTCCCCTCCCCCACAGTCACATCAGTCTGTACACTTACACTCTAATGTCCCCTCCCCCACAGTCACATCAGTCTGTACCAGAGGAGCTTACACTCTAATGTACCCTCCCCCACAGTCCCATCAGTCTCTGTACAGAGGAGCTTACACTCTAATGTCCCCTCCCCCACAGTCCCATATGTCTCTGTACCAGAGGAGCTTACACTCTAATGTCCCCTCCCCCACAGTCGCACACTGTTATCACTGTACTGTACTCTGTCTGCTGCGGGTGAACTCCTCGTAGGACGGCAGTCTCCTCCAGCTCGGGTCTCGGCACAGTTGCTCGTGCAGTCTCCTGGTGTCGGGGTTCCAGGTGGAGTTGGGCAGAGCGTAGTCCCGCGGTTGGTGGGCGACCTGCGGATATCGGAGATGTCAGACTCGCGTTTTTTTCGGCGGTTTCTATGATTGGTGTAATAATAGTGACAGAGCGGTTTGGGGCGGAGTCTTTTTCCCCATTATTGGTTACGTTTCCCGTTGCGGCGTAGCGGCCTGTGTATGGGGGAACAGATCGCTGTCATGTGATCACCTCCCGCTGTCATGGGATCACCTCCCGCTGTCATGGGATCACCTCCCGCTGTCATGGGATCACCTCCCGCTGTCATGGGATCACCTCCCGCTGTCATGGGATCACCTCCCGCTGTCATGGGATCACCTCCCACTGTCATGGGATCACCTCCCGCTGTCATGGGATCACCTCCCGCTGTCATGGGATCACCTCCCCGCTGTCATGGGATCACCTCCCGCTGTCATGTGATCACCTCCCGCTGTCATGGGATCACCACCCGCTGTCATGTGATCACCACCCGCTGTCATGGGATCACCTCCCGCTGTCATGGGATCACCTCCCGCTGTCATGGGATCACCTCCCGCTGTCATGTGATCACCACTCCCGCTGTCATGTGATCACCACCCGCTGTCATGGGATCACCTCCCGCTGTCATGGGATCACCACCCGCTGTCATGTGGATCACCTCCCGCTGTCATGTGATCACCTCCCGCTGTCATGTGATCACCTCCCGCTGTCATGGGATCACCACCCGCTGTCATGTGATCACCTGCTGATGGGATCACCACCCGCTGTCATGGGATCACCACCCGCTGTCATGTGATCACCTCCCGCTGTCATGGGATCACCACCCGCTGTCATGTGATCACCTCCCGCTGTCATGGGATCACCTCCCGCTGTCATGTGATCACCTCCCGCTGTCATGGGATCACCATCTCAGAGTCGCTGTGTGTGGCCCCTTCCAGAGGTCCTGTAGCCGAGGGCGCATGCTGGTAGCAGCTCCTGGGGGGTGTGGCAACACATGGACAGTCCCTCCCCCACTGACGGGGTAAACCCTTCACCAACCAATCAGTACTCACGGAGAAGTGGCGTTGTTCCCCGGCGGTGGTTTGGCGGCAGACGGCGGCGCCCCCCCAGATGATCCTGGCCAGTCGGTACAGCATGGTGCCTGTGAGAGGAGACAGGAAAATGAGACGCTGGCATTCTATACATCACCTGAGCGGGGGGAGGGGCCAACACACGTCACATGACCATACAGAGGTGACATGGTTCAGACATGAGGGGGGGAGGGGCTGCCAGACACACAGGTCATGGATGACAGGGCGGCATATCGCCAACATGGTCTGTGGAGCTGCACAAAGTTCACGGGAATGATACAAATACATGAGCTCCGCCCCCGAGGAATGCCACCTGGTGTCAGCTCCTCCCACTACAAACACTGGGGCACTACATATCCCAGCATGCCTCATGTACCCTCCCCCACCAGAGCACTACATATCCCAGGAATAACCAGATCCTCCGCCTAGATTGAACTACAAGTCCCAGGAGTGACAGATCCTCCACCTAGAACTGAACTACAAGTCCCAGGAGTGACAGATCCTCCACCTAGAACTGAACTACAAGTCCCAGGAGTGACAGATCCTCCACCTAGAACTGAACTACAAGTCCCAGGAGTGACAGAACCTCCACCAAGAACTGAACTACAAGTCCCAGGAGTGACAGAACCTCCACCTAGAACTGAACTACAAGTCCCAGGAGTGACAGATCCTCCACCTAGAACTGAACTACAAGTCCCAGGAGTGACAGAACCTCCACCTAGAACTGAACTACAAGTCCCAGGAATGCCACAACCTCCACCTAGAACTGAACTACAAGTCCCAGGAGTGACAGATCCTCCACCTAGAACTGAACTACAAGTCCCAGGAGTGACAGAACCTCCACCTAGAACTGAACTACAAGTCCCAGGAGTGACATACCTCCACCTAGAACTGAACTACAAGTCCCAGGAGTGACAGATCCTCCACCTAGAACTGAACTACAAGTCCCAGGAGTGACAGATCCTCCACCTAGAACTGAACTACAAGTCCCAGGAGTGACAGAACCTCCACCAAGAACTGAACTACAAGTCCCAGGAGTGACAGAACCTCCACCTAGAACTGAACTACAAGTCCCAGGAGTGACAGAACCTCCACCTAGAACTGAACTACAAGTCCCAGGAGTGACAGATCCTCCACCTAGAACTGAACTACAAGTCCCAGGAGTGACAGAACCTCCACCTAGAACTGAACTACAAGTCCCAGGAGTGACAGATCCTCCACCTAGAACTGAACTACAAGTCCCAGGAGTGACAGATCCTCCACCTAGAACTGAACTACAAGTCCCAGGAGTGACAGAACCTCCACCTAGAACTGAACTACAAGTCCCAGGAGTGACAGATCCTCCACCTAGAACTGAACTACAAGTCCCAGGAATGCCACAACCTCCACCAAGAACTGAACTACAAGTCCCAGGAATGACAGATCCTCCACCTAGAACTGAACTACAAGTCCCAGGAGTGACAGAACCTCCACCTAGAACTGAACTACAAGTCCCAGCAGAGTGACAGAACCTCCACCAAGAACTGAACTACAAGTCCCAGGAGTGCCACAACCTCCACCTAGAACTGAACTACAAGTCCCAGGAGTGACAGATCCTCCACCTAGAACTGAACTACAAGTCCCAGGAGTGACAGATCCTCCACCTAGAACTGAACTACAAGTCCCAGGAATGACAGATCCTCCACCTAGAACTGAACTACAAGTCCCAGGAGTGACAGATCCTCCACCTAGAACTGAACTACAAGTCCCAGGAGTGACAGATCCTCCACCAAGAACTGAACTACAAGTCCCAGGAGTGACAGATCCTCCACCTAGAACTGAACTACAAGTCCCAGGAGTGACAGATCCTCCACCTAGAACTGAACTACAAGTCCCCAGGAGTGACAGATCCTCCACCGAGAACTGAACTACAAGTCCCAGGAGTGGCAGATCCTCCACCTAGAACTGAACTACAAGTCCCAGGAATGCCACAACCTCCACCTAGAACTGAACTACAAGTCCCAGGAATGACAGATCCTCCACCTAGAACTGAACTACAAGTCCCCAGGAGTGACAGAACCTCCACCTAAGAACTGAACTACAAGTCCAGGAGTGACAGATCCTCCACCTAGAACTGAACTACAAGTCCCAGGAATAAGCCTCAGCAAGGCCTACAATCTCCAGAGTCCAGCGCATAGCCTGCTGGGAGTTGTAGTTCCCCTGTTGCTATATATGAATGAGGAGCTCCCCTGCCCCCTCCTCACCAGTCCCACCAATGTCCTCCTTGACAGCATCTTCCAGGACTGTTCTCATTCTCAGCTGTCTCTATATCGGGAGACATTTTCTTGAAGCTAGCTTACGGATGACAGAGCCTGGGCTACAACAACATGGCCGCCACACGGTGAATACTGTACAAGACAGTGCGGCCTCTAGCGGTGATATTGCTATTCTCTGATGTACGGCCTGCGGTCACCGCTAGAGGGCGCACTGTCTTGTACAGTATACACCGTGGGGCGGCCATTTGTTGTAGCCCGAGCTGCCTATCTCCAGGCAGAGGCTCCAGAAAAATGTCCTCCTGCCACAGGGACAGGGAGAGGGTGATGGTCCTGGAAGATGCTGATAAGGAGGACATTGCTAGGACTGGCGGGACTGGTGAGGAGGAGGGCAGGGGCAGCTCTACAGGAACAGGGGAACTACAACTCCCAGCAGGCCATGGGATGGATAGAGCATTCTGGGACCTGTAGGCCAGCAGCACAGGGCCATGCTGAGACTTCTAGTCCCTCAGCTGGGTGGTTTAGTTCTAGGTGGAGATTCTGGTGCTCCTGGGACCTGATACAGAGAATGCTGGGCTATGTAGTGCCCCAGTGTGGGGGAGGGGAGGTGATGTAGGGAATGCTGGGATATGTAGTACCCCAGTGTGGGGATGCAGGGAATGCTGGGATATGTAGTGCCCCAGTGTGGGGGGAGGGGGTGCAGGGAATGCTGGGATATGTAGTGCCCCAGTGTGGGGGAGGGGTGCAGGGAATGCTGGATATATAGTGCCCCAGTGTGGGGGAGGGAATGCTGGGATATGTAGTGCCCTGGTGTGGGGGGAGGGAATGCTGGGATATGTAGTGCCCCAGTGTGGGGGAGGGGATGCAGGGAATGCTGGGATATGTAGTGCCCCAGTGTGGGGGAGGGGATGCAGGGAATGCTGGGATATGTAGTGCCCCAGTGTGGGGGAGGGGATGCAGGGAATGCTGGATATGTAGTGCCCCAGTGTGGGGGAGGGGATGCAGGAATGCTGGGATATGTAGTGCCCCGGTGTGGGGGAGGGAATGCTGGGATATGTAGTGCCCCGGTGTGGGGGAGGGGTGATGAGAGCAGACGCTCAGCTTAGTCCATTATAAAGGGGGGGTGATGCTCCTTTCGGGGGGGATATATAAAGGGTCACCTGATTGGCCGGCTGATCTTTTGCAGCTCATTATCTGTCCCGGTGATTTTATTGTTTTGTCTTTTTATTGAATGCCTTCATTTGATATATTTTATCCCCAATTTTAATTTCACCCCCCCATCCTGGTCATCGCTGATCTTAGATTTTGTCCGTTATTTTATTCTTATATTATTTTTAATTTTTTATATGTTAATAAAGTTTCATATTATGTAGAATATTTAATAAGTACTTATAGTGTATCTCTGTCATTAGATTTATTCTGTAGTCACGAATGTGCTGATATATTAACCCCTCCCAGCCCGGACACTCCCCCCCCCTTCCAGTCCTGATACTCCCCCCAGTCCCCCCCCCCCCGAAGACACTTCCATTCCGTACACTCCCCCCCCCCCTTCCAGTCCGGACACTCCCCCCCCCCCCCCTTCCAGTCCGGACACTCCCCCCCCCCCCCCCCCCCTTCCAGTCCAGACACTTTCCCCCCCTTCCAGTCCAGACACTCCCCCCCCCCCCCCTTCCAGTCCGGACACTCTCCCCCCCCCCCCCCCTTCCAGTCCGGACACTCCCCCCCCCCCCCCCTTCCAGTCCTGAATACTCCCCCTCCCCCCCCCTTCCATTCCGTACACATCCCCCCCTTCCAGTCCGGACACTCCCCCCCCCCTTCCAGTCCGGACACTCCCCCCCCCCCCCCTTCCAGTCCGGACACTTCCCCCCCCCCCCCGGACACTTCCAGATCCGGACACTTTCCCCCCCCCCTTCCAGTCCGGACACTTTCCCCCCCCCCCCCTTCCAGTCCGGACACTTTCCCCCCCTTTCCAGTCCGGACACTTTCCCCCCCCCCCCCCCCTTCCAGTCCGGACACTTTCCCCCCCTTCCAGTCCGGACACTTTCCCCCCCCTTCCAGTCCGGACACTTTCCCCCCCCCCTTCCAGTCCGGACACTTTCCCCCCCTTCCAGTCCGGACACTCCCCCCCCCCCCCCCCCCCCTTCCTCCCCCCAGGCCAATTTTCAGCTTTCAGCGCTATCACACTTTGAATTTGAATGACAATTGCGCGGTCATGCAACACTGTACCCATATGAATTTTTTAGCATTTTTTTGAGACAGAAAGCTTTATTTGGGTGGTATTTATTCATCACAGGGATATTTATATTTTTTTTTGCTAAATGTAAATGAAAAAGTCCAAAAATTTTGAAAAAAAGTGTTTTTCTTATAAAATGTTGCAAATAATAATATTTCACCATAAATCTCGGCCAAAATGTATTCCGTTATCTTTTTAGTAAAAAAAAAAAAATAACCCAAATTAGCTTAAAAATTATAATTTTTGAACATTTGTTTTACTTTTTTTATATTATTATTTATTTTTTTACATACTGTCACCCTAGCAGTGTGCGGTGTCACCATGGTGACACTGTACTACTTGTGGGGGGGTGATGAAGATTTTTTTTTTTACACTGATTGCTTTTACACCCATAAAGGCTGTAAGAGGAATCATTTCTCCTTCTCTCTGTCTGCATTCTTGCAGCCATTGAGAACTACTGAGTGAGCTGTGATTGGTCACAGCTTGTCACATGGTACAAGGCTGTTGTGAATGGCCCTGTACCATGTGACCTCTGTGATCATTCACAGATTTCACACACGTAGTAAGCAATGGTCTCAGAAGTGACATCATTGCTTCTACTCTGCATGTGATCACTGATTGGCCAATCAGTGATCGCATGATCGGGACCTCGCAGAGAGGTCCCCGCCCGACGATCGGTGTTCCGCTGTGGAACAAATTGGGATTGTGGATATCAGTATACATCGCCATTGGATGTCATGTTAACTTCTATGCGCACGACAGGTTAATCTTGCATGCATACGTATTCGGGCTCCATTGCGCATGCGCTGTGGTTGTTCTGGGACGGGTCTCCATTGGATACCGCATTCTAATAGCCCCCGTTACAAATACACCATCACTGATATCAGAAGAAGCGATTCTGACACTTTTGCACCGACTTTAGATATTATAACAAACCTTTCTACTTACTTCCTGGTGATCTCGGTGGCAATAACTACGTCTTCTCTTCAAAAAGATGGCGCCGTTAACGATCTATAACAAAATGGCGCCGGATACGGAGACGCGGGTCTCCAACAAAACGCGCATGCGCCATTTTTCACTATATAAGCACGCTGACGCATGCCCCCTATGATTATGTGCAATAGCACGAAACGCGTCAGGGAGGAGCTACAGCGTCGTGACGTCACGCCGCCGGCACCACGTGGGTCCCGGCGGCCATCTTTGATTTCTGCTTATGGTTAGTAGCTTTTGTTCTGTTCCCTATTTTTTCTTGCCATCTACGTTGGAATAAACATACGCCTTACCAAACGGGATCACGCTATTGGCCTCCTCTTTTCTGGGCTCCCTGCGAGCTTCTAGAGCTACAGGGAAGGAGTGATAAAGCCATACGGACAGCGGAGCGAGGGGAATACCTGACCAGACCATATCCATCCCGTAAAGGGGCCTCCAGTTCATCTACTGAGAGTATTGTCGCTAAATGCGCTCGCTGATTGCGCATCTGGTGAGTGCGCAGTCTTTATACCTGGTGATGTGACCAATGGTGTGAAGACTGCGCACTCACCAGATGGAACACCTATAACTGAAGATGATCAGATCTTCCATACGCTTCTATTTGGAGAATATTTTAGCGCCATCGGTCACTATACCGTGACGGACTTCACCTTACCGCCGAGTCACTTTAATTTGAATGACGTATTTGGCACCTTGTCACGAGTCACTTTATTTATATATTCATATGTTCGTTGATATGTATCACGTATGGAGTTTTCACATACGCGCTTGGAGCGCCGCGCCTTATTTGTATTGATGCTCTGGAGGGTATTTGGTATCTGTGACGGAGGGTTGGCAGGACAGAACACACAAGGCGGATGGCAAAAACACACAAAGCTTTATTGAGACGAATGACAGTCACTCAATGGGGGGATTGCAGGGAGTGGGGCAGTGCCCAGTGTGGGGAAGAGCAGCAGGAGAGGGCCCAAAAGACTTGTAGTCCGGCCCCCAGGGGCAAAGGTAAAGTCTCTACAACAGTTTGTAATCCAAACAGGGAGGTGGAGGGGAGTACAAGAACAGTTCGGGGAAAACGGGAGCATACACTCACGGATCCGACAGGGACGCCCTGGTCCACCGGGGAGCAAGATAGTATGGCACAAGTACCTGCCCGGAGTCCGGAGTATGCGTGGCGTAGTCCGTGGTGATATTCCCCCCGAGTCCTGGGAGCCTGCAGCGGGCAGCTGGTGTGGTTCTCCCCCTTATCCTTGGGGGGTCTTTACAGAGTGGCAGCTTGCTGAGGCTCCCCCTTATCCTTGGGGGGGTCTTTACAGAGTGGCAGCTTGCTGAGGCTCCCCCTTATCCTTGGGGGGTCTTTACAGAGTGGCAGCTTGCGGAGGTTCCCCCGTATCCTTGGGGGGTCTTTGGCAGAGTGGCAGCTTGCTGAGGCCCCCCCTTATACTTGGGGGGGGTCTTTGGCAGAGTGGCAGCTTGCTGAGGTTCCCCCGTATCCTTGGGGGGTCTTTGGCAGAGTGGCAGCTTGCGGAGGCTCCCCCGTATCCTTGGGGGGTCTTTGGCAGAGTGGCAGCTTGCGGAGGCTCCCCCGTATCCCCCGTATCCTTGGGGGGTCTTTGGCAGAGTGGCAGCTTGCGGAGGCTCCCCTTATCCTTGGGGGGTCTTTGGCAGAGTGGCAGCTTGCGGAGGCTCCCCCGTATCCTTGGGGGGTCTTTGGCAGAGTGGCAGCTTGCTGAGGTTCCCCCGTATCCTTGGGGGGTCTTTGGCAGAGTGGCAGCTTGCGGAGGCTCCCCCGTATCCTTGGGGGGTCTTTGGCAGAGTGGCAGCTTGCTGAGGCTCCCCCGTATCCTTGGGGGGTGGCAGCTCTTTGGCAGAGTGGCAGCTTGCTGAGGTTCCCCCGTATCCTTGGGGGGTCTTTGGCAGAGTGGCAGCTTGCGGAGGCTCCCCCGTATCCTTGGGGGGTCTTTGGCAGAGTGGCAGCTTGCTGAGGTTCCCCTTTGGCTTTTCCTTGGGGGGGTCTTTGCAGAGTGGGAGCTTGCAGAGGCTCCCCCTTATCCTTGGGGGGGTCTTTGCAGAGTGGCCACGAGGGTCCCGCCACAGCTGGGATCCCTCAGTGGCTTGGCAGCGGAAAGGATGACTGGGAAGAGCCCGGCATAGGTCGCTTAAACCGATGCAGGACGCCTCCTGGTCGTCCTGGCAACAGTGGGTGGGCCGTGGGTGGCGTGCCTCATTGCCGATCAACGAGGCACGCCCCCTGGACACGGGTCGTGCTCTCGTGAGCGCGGCCTTTGTCCTGGCAGCATCCGCAAATGCGGGAACTCCCGTGCCCGCGCTGCGGATGCCGGGACCGGAACACCTATGTAGGAGGTTCGCACCTCTCCGCAGAGAGGTGTGAACCTCCCTATCTTTTCCTCCCTGGATGATGAGAAGATAATGGTGGAGGTGAGAGGAGCCGCGGCAGGACGAGAGGCAGCAAGGGGGGGGGGGAGGTCATCCTGATGGGGGGGGGGGAACAGCTGGGAGCTGCTTACTAATCAGATGACAATGTGCTAAATGAATTTGGGGGGAAACTGGCTAATGAAATTGGGACTGGAATGCACTTTATTTGAGGGGCTGCAATGTCCTATTTTCGGGAGGGGGACATGACTGGGTTGGACACCCTGGCAGCACCTATTCTGTGACAGTTTCCTTTGGTGTTCCAGCAGCTTTGTAGACTTTTGCCGCTGACTTGCCCTATTCTGCGTTTCCTCACCCCGATGACATATTTGTATCGCTCACATGAACTTTGTACAGCTCCACAGCCCATGCTCCGACAAACTTCTCATCCATGACCTGTGTGTCTGGAAGCCCCTCCCCCTCTCTGTATAAAGGGCTCGTGTTTGAACCCCGTGTCACCTCTGTATGGTCATGTGATGTGCGTTGGCCCCTCCCCCCGCTCAGGTGATGTGTAGAATGTCGGCGTCTCATCTTCTTGTCTCCTCTCACAGGCACCATGCTGTACCGACTCGCCAGGATCATCCAGGGGGGCGCCGCCGTCTGCCGCCAAATCACCGCCAACACCGGGGTACGGAGCGGACGCCACCTCTCGGTGAGTACTGATTGGTGGGGGATGGGGTTATAATGCGCACTCACTGAAGGACTGTGTATTGCGGAGCGGTACGCCGGTATCGCGGGCTACATGGGCATCGGGGGGACTTATCCTTTAAGTGGCATAATAAGATCACCAACCTGACACCCCTCTGATATCCGCAGGTCGCCTGCCAACCGCGGGACTACGCTCTGCCCAACTCCACCTGGAACCCCGACACCAAGAGAATGTACGAGCAACTGTGCCGAGACCCGAGCTGGAGGAGACTTCCGTCCTACAACACCACCGTCCATCACCTAGATGGTGAGACAGAATGGGACTGCGGGGGGGGGACATTAGAGTGTAAGCTCCTCTGGGGATGGGATTGTAGGGGAGGGGACATTAGAGTGTAAGCTCCTCTGGTACAGAGACTGATGTGACTGTTGGGGAGGGGACATTAGAGCGTAAGCTCCTCTGGTACAGAGACTGATGGGACTGTGGGGGAGGGGACATTAGAGTGTAAGCTCCTCTGGTACAGAGACTGATGGGACTGTGGGGGAGGGGACATTGGAGTGTAAGCTCCTCTGGTACAGAGACTGATGGGACTGTGGGGGAGGGGACATTAGAGCGTAAGCTCCTCTGGTACAGAGACTGATGGGACTGTGGGGGAGGGGACATTAGAGCGTAAGCTCCTCTGGTACAGAGACTGATGTGACTGTGGGGGAGGGGACATTAGAGCGTAAGCTCCTCTGGTACAGAGACTGATGGGACTGTTGGGGAGGGGACATTAGAGCGTAAGCTCCTCTGGTACAGAGACTGATGGGACTGTGGGGGAGGGGACATTAGAGTGTAAGCTCCTCTGGTACAGAGACTGATGGAACTGTGGGGGAGGGGACATTAGAGTGTAAGCTCCTCTGGTACAGAGACTGATGGGACTGAGGGGGAGGGGCATTGCAGTGTAAGCTCCTCTGGTACAGAGACTGATATGACTGTGGGGGAGGGGACATTAGAGTGTAAGCTCCTCTGGTACAGAGACTGATGGGACTGTGGGGGAGGGGACATTAGAGCGTAAGCTCCTCTGGTACAGAGACTGATGTGACTGTGGGGGAGGGGACATTAGAGCGTAAGCTCCTCTGGTACAGAGACTGATGGGACTGTTGGGGAGGGGACATTAGAGTGTAAGCTCCTCTGGTACAGAGACTGATGGGACTGTGGGGGAGGGGACATTAGAGTGTAAGCTCCTCTGGTACAGAGACTGATGGAACTGTGGGGGAGGGGACATTAGAGTGTAAGCTCCTCTGGTACAGAGACTGATGGGACTGTGGGGGAGGGGACATTAGAGTGTGATGGGACTGGCTCAGTGATCTCTGTACAGTGCTGCGGTATATGTCAGAGCTATATAAATGTATAATAATAATATATTGGGGGGGGGGGGGGGCATTGGAGTGTAAGCTCCTGTGACTGGTCAGGTGACCTCTGTGCAGGTACGTCTCCGGTGGTGAACAGGAAAACTCGACTCTTCACCAGGAACATCGATCAGGACGGAGTCGGGTTCGAGTATTGTATGTTCTATAACAAGGCAGAGAAGAGGACAGTCTGCATTTTCCAGCCCGGGCCCTATCTGGAGGGCCCCATAGGGTGAGCATTCTTTTTCTTTTTTCCAGCTTGTCCTTCCCAGAGTCCTTTTTGTATCTTGGCCATCTTGTTCTGCTTCCACCTCTCATGTCCCCCGTGCCTTCTCCAGGTACACACACGGCGGCTGCATCGCCACCATCATAGATGCCACCGTGGGGACCGGAGCTGTGTATACCTACGGAGCGGCTATGACAGCCAACCTGAACATCGACTATCGCAAGTAAGTGCGCAGGGTGGGAGGAGCTACCTAACGTACATTGACTGGAGGCGGACTTCCACACTGCATAGATTTCCAGAGAGTGAAATAGGAGATGGTAGTAGTCGCATTCAGGGAGATTATTTCATCTGACCTTCCTCAGGGTGGGGTTGGGCTGGAGGAACCTTCCTTCCTCAGGGGGGCTCCTCAGGAAGGGCTGGAGGAACCTTCCTCAGGGGAAGGGCTGGAGGAACCTTCCTCAGGGGAAGGGCTGGAGGAACCTTCCTCAGGGGAAGGGCTGGAGGAACCTTCCTCAGGGGAAGGGCTGGAGGAACCTTCCTCAGGGTAAGGGCTGGGGAGGGCTGGAACCTTCCTCAGGGAAAGGGCTGGAGGAACCTTCCTCAGGGAAAGGGCTGGAGGAACCTTCCTCAGGGAAAGGGCTGGAGGAACCTTCCTCAGGAGGAACCTTCCTCAGGGAAAGGGCTGGAGGAACCTTCCTCAGGGAAAGGGCTGGAGGAACCTTCCTCAGGGAAAGGGCTGGAGGAACCTTCCTCAGGGAAAGGGCTGGAGGAACCTTCCTCAGGGAAAGGGAACTTCCTCAGGGAGGAAAACCTTCCTCAGGGAAAGGGCTGGAGGAACCTTCCTCAGGGGGGCTGGAGGGCTGGAGGAACCTTCCTCTGGGGGAGGGCTGGTGGAACCTTCCTCTGGGGGAGGGACTTGAAGGAACCTTCCTCTGGGGAAGGAGACTTGAAGGAACCTTCCTCAGGGGAAGGCCTTGAAGGAAGGAACCTTCCTCAGGGGAAGGCTTGAAGGAAGGAACCTTCCTCAGGGGAAGGCTTGAAGGAACCTTCCTCAGGGGAAGGCTTGAAGGAACCCTTGCTCAGGGGAAGACTTGAAGGAACCTTGCTCAGGGGAAGACTTGAAGGAACCTTGCTCAGGGGAAGACTTGAAGGAACCTTGCTCAGGGGAAGACTTGAAGGAACCTTGCTCAGGGGAAGACTTGAAGGAACCTTGCTCAGGAGGAGGAACCTTGCTTGAAGGAACCTTCCTCAGGGGGAGGCTTGAAGGAACCTTCCTCAGGGGGAGGGCTGGAGGAACCTTCCTCAGGGGGAGACTTGAAAGAACCTCCCTCAGGGGGAGGCTTGAAGGAACCTTCCTCAGGGGGAGAGCTGGAGGAACCTTCCTCAGGAGGAGGTCCTTCCTCAGGAGGAGGAACCTTCCTCAGGGGGAGGGCTGGAGGAACCTTCCTCAGGGAAAGACTTGAAGGAACCTTCCTCAGGGAAAGACTTGAAGGAACCTTCCTCAGGGAAAGGCTTGAAGGAACCTTCCTCAGGGAAAGGGAGAACCTTCCTCAGGGAGAGGCTGGAGGAACCTTCCATAAGAGATGTGGTAGTGACTGGGAAAGATAATAATGGGGAGACTCATGAGGGGACATTTAGGGTCTATTGATGATATGAAGCTGTGACACCAGAGAGGTGTGATGATCTTCTCCTCCTGTCTGTAGTCCGATTCCTCTGGGATCCACAGTCATCGTAGACAGCCGAGTGGAGAAGTTAGACGGCCGGAAAGTCTACGCAAGCTGCCAGGTCCGCAGCCACGATGACGCTGTGCTGCACAACGAGGCCACCGGTGAGGGCTGCTGGGAAATCTTCATTCTGTAACTCTACTCCTTTCTCTTCTGTTGCTCCCCTGCCTCTCCTGTATTCTCCTTCCCCTCCCGTCATCTCCTCCCCTTCCACTCTCCTTCATCTGCTTCCCCTGCCTCTCCCGTATTCTCCTTCTCCAGCCTCTCCCGTATTCTCCTTCCCCTTCCTCTCCTGTCATCTCCTTCCCCTTCCTCTCCCATCATCTCCTTCCCCTTCCTCTTCCGTCATCTGCTTCCCCTTCTCTCTCCCTCCCTCATCTCCTTCCCCTTCCTCTCCCATCATCTCCTTCCCCTTCCTCTCCCGTCATCTGCTATTCCCCTTCCTCTCCCGTCATCTCCTTCCCCTGCCTCTGCCGTCATCTCCTTCCCCTTCCTCTCCCGTCATCTCCTTCCCCTTCCTTTCCCGTCATCTCCTTTCCCCTTCCTCTCCCGTCATCTGCTTCCCCTGCCTCTCCCGTCATCTCCTTCCCCTTCTTCTTCCCATCATCTCCTTCCCCTTCTTCTCCCGTCATCTCCTTCCCCTTCTTCTCCCGTCATCTCCTTCCCCTTCTTCTCTCCCGTCATCTGCTTCCCCTGCCTCTCCCGTCATCTCCTTCCCCTTCCTCTCCCGTCATCTCCTTCCCCCTTCCTCTCCCCTTCATCTCCTTCCCCTTCCTCTCCCGTCATCTCCTTCCCCTTCCTCTCCCGTCATCTCCCCTTCCCTTCTCCCTTCATCTCTTCCCCTTCCCTTCTTCCGTCATCTCTCTTCCCCTTTCTCCTCTCCATCTCTCCTTCCCTTCTCCTCTCCCGTCATCTCCTTCCCCTTCCTCTCCCGTCATCTCCTTCCCCCTTCCTCTCCTGTCATCTCCTTCCCCTTCTTCTCCCGTCATCTCTTCTCCTGCCTTTCCTCCCGTCTTCTTCTTCCTGCCTCTTCTGTCTCTCCTTCTTCTTCCTCTCCCTTCATCTCCTTCCCCTTCCTCTCCCGTCATCTCCTTCCCCTTCCTCTCCCGTCATCTCCTTCCCCTTCCTCTCCCGTCATCTCCTTCCCCTTCCTCTTCCGTCATCTTCTTCCCCTTCCTCTCCCCATCATCTCCTTCCCCTTCCTCTCCCGTCATCTCTTCCCCTTCTTCTCTCCGTCATCCTCTCCTTCCCCTGCCTCTCCCGTCATCTCCTTCCCCTTCCTCTCCTTTCTCATCTCCTTCCCCTTCCTCTCCCGTCATCTCCTTCCCCGGCCTCTCCCATCATCTCCTTCCTTCCCCTTCCTCTCCCGTCATCTCCTTCCCCTTCCTCTCCCGTCCTCTTCCCCTCCTCTCCCGTCATCCCCTTCCTCTTCCGTCATCTCTTCCCCTTCCTCTCAGATCATCTCCTTCCCCTTCCTCTCCCGTCATCTCCTTCCCCCTTCCTCTCCCGTCATCTCCTTCCCCTTCTTCTCCTCATCTCCTTCATCTCCTCTTTCATCCTCCTTCCCTCCTCTCCCGTCATCTCCTTCCCCGGCCTCTCCCGTCATCTCCTTCCCCTTCCTCTCCCGTCATCTCCTTCCCCTTCCTCTCCCGTCATCTCCTTCCCCTTCCTCTCCCGTCATCTCCTTCCCCTTCCTCTCCCTCTCCCGTCATCTCCTTCCCCTTCCTCTCCCGTCATCTCCTTCCCCTTCCTCTCCCGTCATCTGCTTCCCCTTCCTCTCCCGTCATCTCCTTCCCCTTCCTCTCCCGTCATCTCCTTCCCCTTCCTCTCCCGTCATCTCCTTCCCCTTCCTCTCCCGTCATCTCCTTCTCTTGCCTCTTTCGTCATCTCCTTCCCCTGCTCCCCTGCCTTTCCTGTTGCCCCTCCCCTGCCTTTCCTGTTGCCAATCCCCTGCCTCTTCCATCATTCCCCCTCTGCCACTCCCCATGTTCCCCCTCTGTCTTTCATTCCCCCCCCCCCCCCGCCTCCATCACTGACCATTGTCCTCTTGTTTCCCCCACTCCCCATGTTCCCCCTCTGTCTCTCATCCCCCCCCCCCCCCCCCCCCCTCCATCACTGACCATTGTCCTCTTGTTTCCCCCCCTCAGGTTTGTTCATTCGGGTGACCCTGGGAGACCCTGAAGCCAAGTTGTAACTAGTTTTACATTCCTGACATCTTGAAATATTCACTTTTATTTTCCCGTCCTCCACCTCAGGCCTGACACCAGTCTGCCTGTCCTGCACTTTTATTGGTCGGCAGCTCCGCATTGTACTGTAGTGTATCCTGTCTGCCTCTAGTGGGCGGCAGATCCTGTATTGTAGGACCCCTGAGAGTCGTGTCCTAGGGGCCACCTCCTTTGTAGTGTAGTCACCCGCTCCTCTTCTGTACTGTAGACCGGCCGTTGGTTCCTGTCCCGGGTCCAATAACCCCGAACATCCCGACTTCAATATCTGCTCTACCTCACGATGGGGGGCCACGCTGCCCCCCGCAGGTGTCAGCCAGCACTGCTGTGCAGGAACCTCGTCAGTATGCTCGAACGTTCGATGTCTGTGTTCTCCGTTACATTGTGTGCCTTTTAGTCGTGTTATTTATTATTCTTCGCAGGATATTTCAAGGATTTGACTTCTTTTACCTCCCGATACTTTCATACCGTTTTAGCCGCGAACAAAACTCCCCCTGGAAATGTCAATAAAGTTTTCTTCTTTTGAAGGTTGCGGCTGTTGTCGGTGTCTTTGCTGTTTATATACCGGATTTATCGGGAGGTGCCATGCTGGGGGGGGTGACAGGTTCTCTTTAACCGCTTCCCCATAGCAGAGATATTGCAACAGGGCGGCACGGGTGCGCAAAATCACGTGTATAGATTTCTGGGTAGGGGGCGCGCACCGCCCTATCCGCGCCGCCATTGGCCGCTACAGAGGTCAATCACCGGGTCCCGGACGGAGATTCCCCACCGGCACCCAGTGATCGCCGAGAAACAGTGACTGGGGAGAGACCTCTACAGGGGCGGACTGACAAGTCATGGGGCCCCGGGCAATAGGGAATCATGGGGCCCCTGTGTCCTCACCCACACACTCAAACCACATCCAAAAAAGCCAATGAATGGTACCAGGGGCCATGCAAGATCTCACCTCGTGGGGTGTCAATGATCATGAGAACAGTGAGGAATCATCCCAGAACTACACGTGAGGATCTTGTCAATGATCTCCAGGCAGCTGGGACCACAGTCACCAAGAAAACAATTGGTAACACACTACGCCGCGACAAGGACTGAAATCCTGCAGTGCCCCCACGGTCCCCTCTGCCCAAGAAAGCCCATGTCCAGGCCGTCTGAAGTCTGCCACTGAACATCTGAATGATGCAGAGGAGGACTGGTGGGAAGTGTTGTGGTCAGAGGAGACCAAAATCCAGCTCTTTGGCATCAACTCAACTCGCCGTGTTTGGAGGAGGAGGAATGCTGCCTATGACCCCAAGAACACCATCCCAACTGTGAAACATGGTGGTGGAAACATTCTGCTTTGGGGGTGTTTTTTCTGCTAAGGGGACAGGACAATTGCACCGCATCAATGGGACGATGGACGGGGCAATGTACCCTCAAATCTTGGGTGGGAACCTTCTTCCCTCAGCCAGGGCATTGAAAATGGGTGGTGGATGGGTGTTCCAGCATGACAATGACCCAAAACACACGGCCAAGGCAACAAAGGAGCGGCTCAAGAAGAAGCACATTAAGGTCCCGGAGTGGCCTAGCCAGTCTCCACACCTTCATCAGATTGAAAATCTATGGAGGAGCTGAAAGTTCGAGTTGCCAAACGTCAGCCACCAAACCTTAATGACCTGGAGAGGATCTGCCAAGAGGAGTGGTGGGCCAAAATCCCTCCTGAGATGTGTGCGAACCTGGGGGCCAACTCCAGGAAACGTCTGACCTCTGTGATGGCCAACAAGGGATTGGCCACCAAGTACTAAGTCATGTTTTGTGAAGGGGATCAAATCCTTATTTAGAGTGTAAGCTCCTTTGTACAGAGACTGATGGGACTGTGGGGGAGGGGACACAGACTTGGGAGTGGGGGAGGGACATGTAAGCGTAAGCTCCTCTGTACAGAGACTGATGGGACTGTGGGGGAGGGGACATTAGAGTGTAAGCTCCTCTGTACAGAGACTGATGGGACTGTGGGGGAGGGGACATTAGAGTGTAAGCTCCTCTGGTACAGAGACTGATGTGACTGTGGGGGAGGGGACATTAGAGTGTAAGCTCCTCTGGTACAGAGACTGATGGGACTGTGGGGGAGGGGACATTAGAGCGTAAGCTCCTCTGGTACAGAGGCTCAGTGATCTCTGTACAGCGCCGTAGTATATGTCAGAGCTATATAAATGTATAATAATAATAGTGTGGGGGAGGGGGCATAAGAGTGTAAGCTCCTGTGACTGGTCAGGTGACCTCTGTACAGGTGCGTCTGGAGGTGGACACTTATATATATATATAAATAAGTCATCGCTGATCGCCGTCATTACTATATATATATATATTCTTTCTACTAGTAATGACGCCGATCAGCGACCTCCAGTGACACCAATACAGGGATCGGTGCTAATAAAAAGTACTGACACCGTACTAATGGCACTGGTCAGGAAGGGGTTAACATGCGGGGCGATCAAAGGGTTACCTGTGTGCTGTGTGTCTTTCACTGTACGCATGCTGCTATGCAGAGCCATACAAAGCAGAGAGATCTGTGTTGTTTATACACAGGTCTCTCCCCTGTCATTGATACCCGGTGATCACCGGCCGGGACCCCGTGATCGACAGTCGAGGCCGCCAGGTAGGGAAGTGCAAAATCATGTATATATACCCATGCTGCCCTGTAGCAGTGTAAGCGGTTAAATGTTTTTTCCTCCCCCCCCCCCCCCCCCACGAAAGTGGAGTTACCCTTTAAATGCTTTGTTTCTGTAACTACAAGGAGATTTTCCTGTGTGGTCACCAAGACAGGAAGTGGGATAAAATCATCTCTCCCATGGGTATGTACAGTTGTGTCCAAAATTATTCAACCCCCACTGAAATTGAGTGTTTTGGCCAGTGTTGACATTGCTTTTGATCATTCAGTCAT